GGCCTCAGCATGGCTGGAGAAGTGGTGCGTCGGTGCGCGCACGGGATCCGAACCCGGGCTGCCAGCAGTGGAGCATGCTCACTTGACTGCTAAGCCACGGGGCCGGCCCCTGACCTTTTTTTCCCTTAAATATGTCAATCCCATTTCCACTCTAGGGCCTTTGCATTTGCTCTCCTCTTGAAATGTTCACAATCTTCACATGGATACATGGTCTTTCAGGTCTCCCTTGTTCAGATAGGATGTAACTCATACCACCTAGTCTAAAGTGTTCTTCCCACTCATCTTCTGTCCCATACCCTGTTTTATTTTCTTCACAGTGTTTATCATTACCTGAGTTATCTTGTTCATTTGTTTGCTTGTCTGCCTCTGCATCTCCATCAGAGTAGGGACAATAGCTGTCTTGTTTGCTGCTGTGTATGTAGTGCTAGAATGATGCCAGATTCTCCATAAATATCTGTTAAATTAGTTTAAAAAGGAAAACCAAATAATTTCTATGTGTGTGTGCTCTGTGTAACATTCGTTGTATTCAAACAAAAATTAGAAATATTTGTTCAATTATATTTGTAAACCAAACCAAGTAGTGCCTTCTTTTTTTCCCCAATCATTTAAAATTATTTTGTCATTTACTGTCGTTGAAATGAATACACTAAATACATCTTCAAAGTTAAAATTATAGTAGTTAACATGAATTGATTTCACCAGAAATACAGATGGGACAAATGACCTTTCAACCAAGAGACAATTGAGAATTCCTGCTCACAGCAACTGTGTAGTTGGAGTGTAATTCACCTTGACTCCGGTCTGGGATGGCTGACTTGCTTATGGTCTTTCTCTCAATTAGGGATCCATAAAAAAATGCCATGGATTGATGTTATTCAAGAACACTTCCTTGGAATGTATCTTAAAGTCAGTGTGTTTTTAAAAAATAAAAGTTCAAAACTACATAGAAAATATTATATGCAGTCAAATGAAACAGCATGGTAAAATAATTTATTTTAGATGCTGATGACCTCCATTCTTTAAGTTCTCAGTTGACTGGGTCCTTTGAGGTAAGAACCTCAAATTCTAGATTTTAAAAATGACTGGAGTTTCCACAGTGCTAGGTACTGAGCTGAACAATAGAAGACATGGAAATGCCTGCTCTTTAATGCATTGTCATTTGGATTAAATTCTTTTGGGTGCTTTTCAGATGCTGCTTCTCCCCTCCCTTCACTCATTCTTTTAGGAAAAGCTTTGACTTAGGGAGTGAAAGTGAAAACTGTATTTTTCTCTCATGGGTGGATGTTCTCTCCCATTTATCTCCTATAGCTCCTGAGTATTGGTGTTCCATTGCTTACTTTGAAATGGATGTTCAAGTAGGAGAGACATTTAAGGTTCCTTCAAGCTGCCCTATTGTTACTGTTGATGGATACGTGGACCCTTCTGGAGGAGATCGCTTTTGCTTGGGTCAACTCTCCAATGTCCACAGGACAGAAGCCATTGAGAGAGCAAGGTATTGATTGTATAGTTAGATAGTTATTTTAAAAATTGAATATAGTACATTACCTTTTATTTGAAGTTATATATTTCAATGTAGATCATATGTTTTCGAATATAGATAAAAGAATAAAGGTTATCTTGAAAATTCAGAATTTGTAAGCATTCCATTTTAATTCTGGATGTTTGTTATTTAAAATGTGATAAAATGGGCGGCCCTGTGGCGTAGCAGTTAAGTGCGCGCGCTCCACTGCTGGCGGCCTGGGTTTGGATCCCGGGCGCACACCGGTGCACCGCTTGTCAGGCCGTGCTGTGGCGGCATCCCATATAAAGTAGAGGAAGATAGGCAGGGATGTTAGCCCAGGGCCAGTCTTCCTCAGCAAAAAGAGGAGGATTGGCATGGATGTTAGCTAAGGGCTGATCTTCCTCACAAAAAAAAATGTGATAAAAGATGGTCTGTTTTTTAAGTTAGTGAGGTTTCTGTGTATTGAATAGTAACTAGACCTTTTGGAATCCAGTTTGAAAACTAATTTTTATTTCCTCTGATCATGTATTATTTCTAAAAATCTATTGAAATAATACAAAATGAGGGCATGTTACTGCAAGTGTTATTTATCATATTGGAAAACTGATAATAAAACTGAAATGGTGAAGTAAATTTTGATAAACTTTCATTTTTTTTTTTCCTTTTTTTTTTTTCTATTGATGTTTAATGGTTTTTAACATTGTGAAATATTGGGTTGTGCATTTTTGTTTGTCCATCACCATATATATGACTCCCTTCACCCCTTGTGCCCACCCCCCACCCCCACTGCCCCTGGTAACCACAGTACAGTTTTCTC